GGGTATAGTTTGGCGTAAATCCATACTTGCAAAGATGTTCCCCCATGATCTTCCTTGATTTTCTTTTCCCGTTTCCGCATTCGCTACAGGGACAGAATGTGTCTCTCGCTCCATTAGCTGCCTTGCCAAATGCTTGGTTCAAGAAACCCTCGGTCTTGTCCATCCATTCAGGGGTGATTTCAGCCTAACTTGGGCGGCATGTGTACATCCACTCACGGTTATCCATCCTCTAGCATATACATGAGCGAGTAATATAACCACCAATTGCATCTGAACGGCATGCCTAGTGTCTAATGGGTGAGGATAGGTCCTAATCCTACCCGCGGATGCGTAGATGAGGTTAGTTTACATGCTCTACTCCGATCCAAGACAAAATTTTGGCAGCACCTCCCCACTGTTCTCCCGATACACGTCCTGGAAGGGAGAGTGTGTATCCGAAGAACAACAGGGAGGTGGTGCCGAAACTCTGTCTCAGATCGAAGCAGAACATGAAAACTACCCTATCTACGCATCCGCGGGCTGTCCAAAAAAGTGGACAATCTGAAACAGATACGATCTTAGATATGCGAAGATCCGCATACCTCCAACCGTATCTGTTTCGAACGAGAGACGCCTAACTGGGTTACACCGATCTACGACAACGATAAGGAAGAGAGGTTATTTATACCTAGGGTGGCGGTGGAGTTAGGCTAGCGGGGCAGTGGCGAGGCGACACTGTGCAGGTAGGACTACAGTGCCGACAAAGACGATCAGGGTCACCTACGTACTCCGGGTCCCCTCCGACGGGTCCTGCTCTGCAAAAGAAGAATTATAATATTATAAATTAAAAATTTCGGCAGAACCTCCCCTATACGGGGAGGTTTCCAAAACCTACAAGAAAAAAGCCGACACGATGGCCGACAGCATATATACGGCACGAAGGCCCACACATCCACGTATGGCACGAAGGCCCACACATCCACATAAGGCACGAAGGCCGTCAACAACATACAAGGCACGAAGGCCGACAATCGGGGGGGCTTTATACCTTGGGTGGCGGTGGAGTCGGGCGACGCGGTGCCGGGGTCACCTTCATCTCCAGCGAGGGGTGGGGACGACGACGGGGATGAACGGCGAGGGGCATGGTCGGTGGCCGAGGCTCCTCCTCCTCCCTTCTCCTTCCTCCTCCCTTCTCCTTCTCCTCCCTTCTCCTTCTTCCTTCTCCCTTCTCCTCTCCTCCACCTCCGTTCTCTCCTCTACTCCCCTGCTCCTCCTCTCCTCCACTCCAGTGGGTTAGGGGCGGGGGGGGGCAACCGGGTAGGGCACCACCGGCGGCGTAGCGGGCCCAGGGCGGGGCCGGCTGTGGCGGTGGAGCGGCGGCGGAGCGGGGCCGGGGCGGGGCCGTGGCTGGCGGTGGAGCGGGGCCGGGGTGGTGCTGGTGGTCGCACGGTGGCAGGGCGGGGCCGGGCGCGCACGACAGTGAGAGGGAGTGAGAGAGTGGGAGCGGGCTGGCCGGCCCGCTAGGGTTAAGTGGGGCGGCTCTTTGCCGAGTGCCGAGATGCGGGCACTCGGCAAAGAAATTCAGGGGGTTCTTTTAATCCGAAAGAATAAAAAAAATTCTAAATAGTCTTTGCCGAGTGCTACAAGCCTGGCACTTGGCAAAGGGGTTCCTTTGCTGAGTGCCAATTCCGACACTCGGCAAAGTTTTTTTATTTTTTTTATTTTTGTTTTAGGCATCGTACGTGACAACTTGCTCGGAAACATCTAAATTTTTTACCACAGCCTCTACATGCGATGACACGACACCTCGACAAGTTTCGTGATTTTCGGACTTTGTTTGTATTTTATATAATTAAAAAACACTTTTTTAACAAGTTGGTGGTCATGTTTCATGAAACAGATGTTCGAATTTTCACGAATGTCCCTGCACACGGCCTCAAAATACACTCAAAAACATGAATACCATTTTTGAATTGCTAAATTCTAATATTTCATGCACCTGCGGTTCAAATTTACTTTTTCGAGAAAAATTCAAGTAAACATAAAATATTAAAAAAATATACCAAAAAGTCATAGAAAAGTTCCAAATTAGAACATGTGCTTCAAGGTACTGTATAAATGCCACAGAAAAAATTTGAAAAAAAAATAAAAAAAAAATACTTTGCCGAGTGTCGGAATTGGCACTCGGCAAAGGAACCTCTTTACCGAGTGCCAGGCTTGCAGCACTCGGCAAAGACAGCACGTTTGCCGAGTGCTAACGGCCAGCACTCGGCAAAGGATGACGGAGGGGCCGCCGGTGTCGGCTGAGGTATTTTGCCGAGGGTTATTCTTTGCCGAGTGTCTGACACTCGGCAAATAGGATGTTTGCCGAGTGTCCCTCTTTGCCGAGTGTTTGACACTCGGCAAAGACGGCCTTTGTCGAGGGCCGGCTTTGCCGAGTGCGGCACTCAGCAAACTGCCTCTTTGCCGAGTGCCCGTGTTTTGACAGTCGGCAAAGCTCCGAGCACTCAGCAAAGAGTGCGTCTCCCGTAGTGTGAGAGGGAGAGCGTCAACTTGTAACCTCATCGTCAGAGTCTGAAAGCTGGTTGGTGAAGCCGCCGCCATAGCATCTTGGCAAGTCGAATCCTTGCTCGACTGTGTATTAGAGAGAACAGTGTTTGTGAAACATTAGACAATGACTTGATGCTATAACCTAATAGTGTATAACATAAGGATGGTGAATCTGTAGCAGCCAAATCAACGCGTAGAAAATAAAACTATCTAACAGAGGAACAGAAAAAAAAAGCTAATCCATGAGCCCACTTGAGAGGCTAAAGAAGGGGCAAAAGGGTTTCAGTGCTCTGCAAAATCTAACATTTTCAGAACAGGACTGACCTGATTACATTTATTGGCAAGATTAAACTATGTTTAGTAAGTTCCTCGAATATTTTAAGGATCAATTATATTGGTACTTTTATGCTCTCAAGTTTATCAGCAGCCAAGCACTTTTTACAATAGATGACTACTATGCAAATATATGGTCTCATGAATAACTTTGGTAGAAGCCCTTTTATTCTCTCATGGATTTTGAAACACCAGAAAAGAATACTTATAGGAAAAAACGTACAATAAATGCAATGCATAACCTCAATATCTAGCATGAACTCAACCTAAGATCATAATGCATTAAGATCTAAGAACTATAGTTAGCCTTAGGCCAATGAGCCATGAGGATGACATTATTGACAATGTAAAATATATGCAAAGCTCAGTTCCAACACAGTTCCCTTGACAGTCTAATTAAAATGGGGGCACGCATACATATTAGAAGTTGTTCCATAATTGGTATTTGGCCAGGATCTACACTAAATTAGCTAGCTTATAACAAACAATAACCTCTAACTGCTTGCAATGTAATAAAAGGACGAGGGACCGTACATTTTTACTAATTGATATTGTCTTTAGAACCAATAGGTTATATGTATTCAGAGAAAAAATAGCAGCACCAGTATAGAAATATAAGATACCTATAGACAAATATTTACCATGCAAAGAGAACTTTACAAATGGTGTTTCCACTGAAATAATGTTCTTTTTAAATCTGAATCAATCCAACAATTTGATGTGAGCATTTAGTAGTAAACAATATCTGTAGGACACCAAGATTGATGGATAGGAAGTTTTTTATGAGAGTGGCATAGACAGTACCTGTTATAAAATCGTCCTCTAGAATAGAAAGATTAACAGCCTGAGTGGTGCTGATACGATCGTATACGATCGTGAATTATTACTGCTGGCTGGTTTGGTGTAAGAGAAAAATACTGTTCTGGCTGAAAATTTATGATCGTTTACGACCAATCGAACAGACTGTAAATAGCAGCAACAAGCATTGTTTGCACTGATATATTCGTAGATTGATATGAGACATCAGTATCATTAGTTTGGTAATGATACTTAGGTGAATAAATGGGCTATTGTCCACATGAGCTAGTCATCGACGTATACTTCACTGTCCACTCGCAATGAGACATCACTATGACGTGAAGGGGACCGTTACCTATCAGCCTTGGACTTCGAACTTCTTCTCTACTCTTAGGTGAATAAATGGGCTATTGTCCACATGAGCTAGTCATCGACGTATACTTCACTGTCCACTCGCAATGAGACATCACTATGACGTGAAGGGGACCGTTACCTATCAGCCTTGGACTTCGAACTTCTTCTCTACTCTGGGCATTTACGATGCTCCCACTACAACTTGATGGGAGAGAAGGACGATATAGACACCATGCAGGAGGACAAAATTTGGAGGATTGAAATGGAGGAAAAATGAAAAAATTTGGAGGATTGAAATAGAGGAAAAAATTTAGATGAGGGAGGAAAATAAAGGAATTTTAGAGGACTGAATTCCTATATAGAGGTTTTTTTTATAAGAGCCTTTATATATATATATATATATATATATATATATATATATATATATATATATATATTAAAGAGGTAAAATTTCTCTCCACCTATTTTTTTTTGTCTGTCTTTCCCTAACTAACTATATCAATGTAGAAATTGTCTTGGTTCGCCTCTCTACAACTCTCATGCACTACGTCAGATATGGTTTTTAGGGGCGGCTAATAAGCATTTGTAGAGGCGGTTCGGCCAGCCACCTCTACCATACCGTCTCTACAAATCATGCATTTGTAGGGGCGGTTGGTACTGTAGCCGCCCCTACAAATCGATTTATAGGGGCGGTCTGGGAACACCAGCCGCCCCTACAAATCATTTTGTAGGGGCGGCTATAGTACCAACCGCCCCTACAAATCATTTTTCCGCCAAAAAAATATTAAATTTACAATTCAAATTCGACCAGAACATATATTTTTCATACACAACTCCATCATGACTTATCTTCTTCTGCGATTGTACTAAAACTCAATGACAATACACATTTATTTATACCAGATTATAACAAATATTCTATGACAATACACGGTGCAAATTATTGTGCTTGCTGTGAACTGCTCGCTCACACGGCTGAACATCTCCTAGATCGAGGTGGAGTTGCCGATGAATGTGGACGCCATCTTCAGGCCCTTGGGAGGGATGTCGCACACGCTCGACTTCACGTTGTTCGGGATCCACTCCACGAAGTAGGACGAGTTCTTGTTCTGCACATTCAGCATCTGCTCGTCCACCTCCTTGGTGCTCATCTTCCCACGGAACATGGCTGATGCTGTCAGGTAGCGCCCATGTCGTGGGTCAGCTGCGCACATCATGTTCTTGGCATCCCACATCTGCTGGGTCAGCTCGGGGACTGTGAGGGCACGGTACTGCTGGGATCCCCTTGATGTCAATGGTGCAAAGCCAACCATGAAGAAATGGAGGCGAGGGAAGGGTATCAAGTTGACTGCAAGCTTCCGGAGGTCAGAGTTCAGCTGGACTAGGAACCGCAAGCAGCAGGTAACACCACTCATGGTTGTAGAGATGAGATGGTTCAGGTCACCAACTGGCAACATAAAAAAGCATGATTCAGATTCATATCTAAATGGCAGAAACAAATGCAAGAAACAGGGCAGAGAATCATGAAATGATCATCTCAGGGCATTACATTGTAGTATTCTGTAGTACAAAGCAAACTTCAAAACAGATAGTACGGTGTCAAAATGCTAGTGAGATGCATGTGCCCGACATACACATAAATTCAATCAAGCAGTGCATGATTGCAATAACTGTGCAGCAATGGCAGACAAGGACCATGTAATTCATTGCAGCATCACAAGACATATCCAAGAGATAGATTTGTGTCACAGGATTTCACACGAAGATGACTACAATCCACTCTTTTGCACCACGATATGAAATCAATGATCAACAAATACTAAAGTTGTGGGTGCAGTGACTGAGCAAAGTAGCAATACAAACTTACAAGTGGTGTAGCAAGCTTCAGAGTGCGGAAGCAGATGTCGTAAAGAGCTTCATTGTCAAGGACCATACACTCATCAGCATTCTCAACAAGTTGATGAACTGAGAGTGTAGCATTATAAGGTTCGACCACAGTATCAGACACCTTAGGTGATGGAAAAACTGAGAATGTGAGCATCATCCTATCTAGGTACTCTTCCCTGATTTTTGAGATGAGCAGGGTGCCCATCCCAGAGCCAGTACCTCCACCCAATGAATGGCAAACCTGAAATCCTGCAGAAGAAAAGGTAAAGATTATTTCAGATAGAATTTCGGAGCAGAAGCATAAATCAAACGGACAAGCAATTTTTTTACACAAAATATCCAATAACTGAGATTCTAGTTGCTTTGTAGATAATAAGATGACATGAAGATGGACAAACCTAGCAAAATGCAACACCCTAACATGAACCAGAAGCAATTTATGTTATCTGTAGCGGCATGAAGGTTCTTTGAATTTTCCCACCCTATTGAGATAATAGCAGCAGAATCACAAAAGAACTATTTCTGGTGATAGAAAGTAGCATTTTATGAAAGCTTCAAGTAACCAAAACAGAGTAAAAAAACACCTACTTTATACTGGCAAAGAGCTCATTTTATGAAAGCTGAAGAACAGATGCCATTGGCAAAGAATCAGAGAGGATGCCTAGTAACATTAAAAGACAACAAATTGTGTTCTCTAGGCTAATATTAAATGCATTTTGTTCCATCAAAACAAGTATTGCTTAACCAACTAAACTTTACCATCTTATAACCAAATAAACACAGTGAAATACGAACGGTCCTCTAAAAGATAATCATTCTCTTTAGGGATCACTAATAAGACAAATTCAAACACCAATTGCAGACTGACTTACCTAGCATCAAAGAATGGTTTCTCAATGTGCTTCTCTAAGAGTTTCCTAGCATGCTCCTTTACCTAAACACCAAAGACAAAACTGTTTGGAAGTGTCCAATGACAAAATTGAACAATGTGGCACATAGCATATAGACCATCTTTTCTATGCTCACTAGCCATGTAAGTCTGTTCAGGTGATACTTAACGATCACAGAACAAAAGGATAAGCCACTTTCAATTAAAAATTAGCCAGATAAAGAATGAGTATAGACAGATTTATAGGACAAAATCAAGGCATTGCTGTACTGAACATATTGACAGTAAATTGAATGAAATAGTATCATATGGTAAGCAAAGAAAACAGATTGCCAAATTCAACTTCTGTGAGCAAAGTACCTGTGATGAGAAACGCAAAAGCATTACTGTTATAATAAAGGAAGCTAACTCTTCTTGAGAACCCACCTTCACCAATGAACTAAGGAATATTGAATAATGCAATAAAACTTTTTTTACCTTGTAAAGATCATCCAAAGATTTCCATCCAGTATGAATACCAAGCTCATCACCATGTATTCCAAGAAAGTAATTATCAATCTCTGGGAAGAAATCTTTGAATGAAAAAAGACCTCTTATAGGATACAGTTCTGCATCTTCTATAACCTTTCTCAATGCTTGTGGACCTAAAAACATCAGTACCTGTAGGTCAAAAAAAAGGTGTTACAAGGGCTGATTACATAATGACAAAAGACTACCCAAGTCGAGATTGATTTATGAAGAAAGTCTTCACCGAGTCGAGATAGTCTTTGCAGTTCCAAAGATAGTTATACTTCTTATCCTAGCTTTACAGTGAACATACACAGGCATTAGGTCACAGATTAACAAACTACTACCTGCAGAGATAGAACAACAACGAAATCAGAGCTACACATCCAAAGGGAAATAAAAAATACAGAACAATTCAGTGGAAAATACGAAACCACAGTCAGATTACATCACCATACAACTAACTTGACCAGATCGACGGAGGAAAAGGGAGGAATCGAAGAAGAAAACATGAACCCTATCTCGTCACCCCAGATTTGAGTCACCGCGAGGACCGCAGGGAGCAGGCTGCGGGGGGCCAGCCACCACGTGCTAGCTGGCGCGAGGCTCGCGGGCGCCGCGTCGTGGCAGGAGGCGGCCACCACCGGGCCCGTCGGCCACGCGCGCGCAGACGGAGGCGTCAAACACAGGCACCTAGGGTTTTGATGTTTCGTCGAGCCCAGGAGCGCATGCGAACCGGTGGGAGGAAGCCGCGTCGGGGGTGGCAGCCGCGGCAACGGCCACCTACGGGAGCTCGCTGGCGCCCGTTCGCCGCCGTCCCGCTCGCGCCTTTCGCCGGCCGGTGCGCCGCGCCATCGCGAGAGAGAGGGGAAGGTGAAAGCAGAGACGGACGAGGGGACCAGCACGCCGCCACGTCGGGAAGAGACGGAGAAGAAGGGACGATGGGGGCGGAGGCGGCGGGAGCGGGACCGGTGGGGGCGGGGGTCGCGGGAGGCTCGGCCGGCGCGCCTCGTGAGAGAGCGAGAGAGGGAGCGGATGGGAGAGTTTTTTTTTCGATGAGCAGGGGAGAGGTGGGAGATATTTATTGTACAAGTGATTTGTAGGGGCGGCTGGTGATTGAGCCGCCCCTACAAATCGTAACACCGGAGACGGCTGGTGAGTGAGCCGTCTCTACAAATCGACCCCATTTGTAAAGGCGACTCGTATTATCAGTCGCCCCTACTGTGTCATTTGTAGGGGCGGCTGGTCTAGTGGCTCCCGAGCACGCCACTGTAGGGGCGACTCCATCACCAGTCGCCCCTAAAAAAAATTGTTCCGTTGCTACAAACCGTTTTTCACGTAGTGATGTTTTATATGGTATAATAAACTGCTTCCGTTTTTTGTTCCGTTGATTCCCATCAAGGATTTCGTGTCCTGATGCAATTCTGTTTTCCCGTCCAGGATTCCGAATCCCGTCACAATTCCGTTTTTCTTTTATGTGGTTCCCGTCTAGAATTTTTTTTTTCTTTCCTCATCGGTGTTCCTTTATCTGTTTTGTCCCATCAGCTCCTGCCGTTCCTGTGGTGTTTTTTTCGTTTCCTTTCCTGTCCGTGGTTCATGCATCTTTGTTTTCCTTTTTCTTTTTGTTTGTGTTTTTCTCTTCATTCTTTCTCTGTCTATGCGTTTTTGTTTTTTTCCTTCTTCCTCCATCTAGGTCTTTCTTAAATAATAAATATAATACTACACGTCTTTGAATTATTGACTTTTGCCACACAAAAAAGACTTTTACCATCAAATTGTTCCAGTTTTGATTAGAAACAAAATGTATTCTTTTAGAACTTGCATAGTCCGATGGTCTAGCTAATCAAACCATCAACTAAAATATTGAGCACTTTATTATTTAATATAATCCAGTCTAAATAACTCTATTTTGCAACTCCCTGATGATTAACAAACAGACCAATACAATCTATAAATATTTTATTCTAATTCAATATAGGTATAATAGGACATTTTGATATTATTGCCACTATTAACTTAGTGTTACGTGTGTCTTGTCATCATAAAAAATCATAGAAAGGGTGAAACATAAATTAATATGTATTGATGTTTTTGTTCCTATAAATATTTTATAGTATTTTTCTCCTGTTACAACGCACGGGTACTTTTGCTAGGTAGAACAAAAGAGTGAATCCTATGATTTTTTTTGGAATTCATATAAATTACCCTTTTTAGGAAATCCTATAAAACTAGGAAGGTACGCGCTTCGCTTCATGCGCGCAGAGGAGGGGAACAGGAAAGGAAAGCAAAGAAAAAACTGGAAAGGGAGAAGTGGAAAGAAAGAAAAAAATGAAAAAAAGAAAAGTAAACAGTGCTGAACAGTAGCAGGAGACGCGAGGAGCCAGGAATTCGCGGAACATTAAAAGAGTGTAGTTATGTGTACTTGGTCCATTATTAATTTTTGCATTTGCTGAAGTTTAGGGACTAGGCGCACAAAGACTTCAGTATTCCCTAGGCCCGTTGAAATAATAATATCTTACATTTGCTTTTCCATGATTTTTGAGGTTTCAGACTCATTTCCCATTGCATTATTAATCTCTACATTGTTTTGGGTCAGACCTGCTGGACCAACATCAGATTTTCTATTCAATGCACACATTACTCATTGTATGCTAATTATATGTTACTAGCAAAGGTGTCCATACGTTGCAACAAAAAATATAGTTTATTGTACTATATACAGTATTTCTGGACGGCTTGCAACTCTGAAATTATTGAACAAATCATGTTATGTATGTGTTCCAAGTCCTCTTAGAATTGAATATTGTACATAGACATGCATTGGTCTAACTCATATGGACGTAAGAAGATTAGAGATCTTACAATTACTAATTAGAGGCCTGAGGCACCATGTTAATTCTCACCAGACACGCTAGGAACAAAGATTAGAAACATCTAGCATTTGATTTGGTAGACTCTAATCTTCATCCCTAATAATAGTCATTGGATCTACTGTAGTTATTAAAAAATTACCCACCACTGCCATTATGAAAAACACATAAAGTAACCTCTAATTTTGCATGTAAATTACCCACCACTGCCATTATAAAAGATAATTCAAGATAACCCCCTATATTTGTATATAAATTACCCATATTTGCCATTATAAAAAATAATTCAAAATAACCCCCAAATTTGCATATAAATTATCCACCTTACCATTTTGAAATATAATTTAAAATAACCCTCTAATATTGCGTCTAAATTACCTAGCTTTGTAATTATGAAAGATAATCTAAAATAGTCCTATAACTTTGTATCTAAATTGCTCATATCTATTAGTATTAAAGATAATTTAAAATAGCTCATAATGATTTTATAAATTATGCACCTTTATTATTATGAAAGATAATGCAAAGTAATATTCAAAGTTTGCATTTAACCTATCCATACATCGTTATGAAAAATAATATAAGGTATTACCTCTATATTTGTATGTACCTTAGCCATTATAAAAAATAAATAAAAAATCTTTGAAATCTACACGGGAAGTAGTAATATATATTAATAAAAAATAAATCAATATCTAGAAAGTACGACACATATATACAGTCATGAAATAAAATAACTATAATGCTATGTTTCACCATGTATATCAAATAAACATGTATACATTAGGATAAATATTTATTTTAACAACTTATGAAACATGGAAAATGTTCACTTAACAAACCACGTAGCAAAAACACTTTATATTAATACTCTATGTTAATAAATTTTGTGAGATATTATTTTAAATAAGTCTATACATTTTTACTGCTAAAACATTATATCACATGAATATTATTAATTTAATTTTATGCACTTTGTGATATATATATATATATATATATATACACACACTACACACATATAATACTGTGGTATAACAAATTCAACATGTTTGGTGTCAGGATCTAAGCCTAGTTTTAACTTATGTGGAAAACAATACTACTAGGACCTAGATTCAAAAAAAGATAAAGAATACTAGAATTTCTAATTAACATGTGAAAAACTACAACTATAGATTTACGAAGTCAAAAAAGGGGTTGCATCAAGAGTTTATGTATCTTAAGACTAGATTTTAACTAAATATACATATCACACTATAGAATAATATAAATAGGTCCTCACTAGAGCGTTGTCGATGTGGGACCCACAGGATACTCCGCAAGGAAGAGAGAAGATCTAATCTAACTAGGATTCTTCCCATGTAATCTTAGTAGTAGTATTATTCAGTAATCCTACTAGGAACTGTCGATGAAATATGGTTGGCAGTCCACCGAGGGGGGTTGCCCGTGGTGGTAGATTATCGATAGACGGTGCGTGTAATCAGGAACCAGATGGTGACACAAGGCGCAGAGACAGCGATTTAGACAGGTTCGGGCTGTCTGATCGACGTAATACCCTACGTCCTGTGTCTTTGGTGTATTGTATTGAGGTGTATATGGATTGTCCTGTCCTCTAGGGGACCCTTGTCTCTCCTTATATACTCCGAAGAGACAAGGTTACAAGTAAAGTATCCAATTTGGTACTATTACAATATCTAGTACAACTTATAATCTTGATGTGCACGTCTTGATCTTATGGGCCGGGCCACCTCGGATGGTGCGGCCCATGTATCATCTTGTGGTACCTGGGGATATATCCCCCACAGGAACCCTCATTGTAAACCGACTAGGACTCTGGCCTCCTAACTATATAAAGGGGGGCATGGCTCCTTAGATCAGAGAGTCTAGAGTTAGAGACAATAATTATACAACACAACACTTGGCAATCAATTCAACGCAAAGGCTAACGCCAACTGGACGTAGGGCTATTACTCGATCAAAGATCAAGGGTCCGAACCAGGATAAATCGACTGTCTCTTGCGTTAACCGTCAAGTTCCGTATACGCTGAAGCCCGAACATACTACCCCGGGTACCCCCGTGGCAGGCTATCGGTGGTCAAACATCGATAGCTGGTGCGCCAGGTAGGGGCTTTCGGCGACTTTGCATCCGAGAGCTCGATGGACCTCGACAACATGATCTTCTCGAAGGGATCAATCTTCATCTTCGGTTCATGGATCTACGAGGCAGGCGACGATGGCAAACTCCAAGGCCGTCTCCTCGAAGATTCAGATCATCATCAGGACTCTTTCATTTCGACGACAACGACAGATCAGCTTGCTGGAAGATTCGCGCAGCTCATAATATCCAATCCAGCTCGGATTCCGCGACTTCACGCATCCGATTCAGACTCAAGTTCTGTTTCCAAGACGAAGTCTTATCCGAGTTCTTTCGAAAAACTGAGTTCTTTTCTGACAAAGCTCCAGAACATGACGTCAACCTGTCAAGAATTCTACTCGGAGTACACCTAGAGTACTTCAAAGAAGTCGGGTCCTCTTCCGTTTAGACCCCACAACATGGCGACACCTTATCAGACATGGCACAAAGGATCCACCTATCCCGTTCTTAGAATGCCACTGAAAGGAGCCTAGGAAGGTCTCGTTTTAACTATAACATCTCAAGACTGTATCGTTCACTGGCCAGGTACCGTTCCTGAGGATGACGACACCCAACTAGTCGATGATGCGACAACAGCAATTCTACCCTACCAAGAAGGAGATTCGATCTATGACCTTGAAACATCTACTGAAGTTATCAACAGCTCTCGCAGTACGGAAGTCGACAACGATGACAGAACAACTCACGCTAGAGAAGTATTCATGATTCGCCATCCTCGATCACCATTGATCCCCCCAGAAGTACCTGACGTAAGGTCTTTAGATGAATCCAAATCCAACATATCACCATTTATCCAGGGGCACGATGGTGAGACTGAGAGTCAAAGGCAA